AAAAAGATATGGGCACAGTGGAATGGCCTTTTGGGCTGACATGTTTGTGTTATGCCCCTGTCAGGTGGGTGTGCAAATTCGCTTGGCCTTTTGCAATTGCACCTACGAAAAATTGGCAACTGCCGGGGCATTTTGCAAAGTTGGACAGCGTCCGGTACGGGTACATTGCAAAAATGGGGTCCAACTGATGGCTGAGGTGTTTCAAAATATGTTTTTGTCCTCGTCCTTCGCTGCGGCGGGTCCACTTGTTATATTAAATAATAATTAATAATAGGCTAATAACACCATTTTCTTCCCCAGTCATCCAGCAGTGAAACATGTGGTGCAGCCCTGCTTGCAACACCATAATCGGACGAATCATTACCACCTGTCAGATTCTTTGCAGTTCGTTCAGGTCACAGAAAGTCGCTCAACAAACGGACTTTGCTGAACACAACAAATCATTACAACACTCCTGGAAGATTGCCATCATGTCTTCTTTTTCCCTTTGTCTTTTCGATGAGAACCACTTCTTTCAGTGAAAAGAGCCACAACATGGAGATCATCCCAAAACAGCAACTTTTGTCATAGAGGGGTTGACGAGAGGCCTGAAAATAGGAAACTGCACTCTGCAATACAATTTACTGAGTGCAATACATAAAAAGATAAAACTCCGAAAAGGTAATAGCACTCGAGTACCCACGCTTGCCCGTAATAAGTAACCGGACCCTTGCCCCCCAGAATAGAAGGGGCTCGTGTTTTTCTTTTAAAAAAAAAGTATCCTGTTTCCATAACCTCTGGTTTGAATTTCCCATGATAATGTGTTTTCTACTCATTCCACATTCGAGATGAAATGTTACTGAATTGATATCTGAACCGAGTGACCCACATATGATGGTAACCAAGAAGATGCATCAACAGCATCAAGGAACAGGATCAACAGACAGGACCAACGGACAGGATCGAAGGACAGGATGGACAGACAGTATCAACGGACAGGATCAAAGGACAGAATGGACAGACAGGATTAACAGGCAGGAAGGACAGACAGTATCAACGGACAGAATCAATGGTCAGGATCAAGGGACAGGATTGGTCCAGAGACAGGATCAGTCATGGTACAGGATCAGGGGAGAGGATCAATCAAGGGACAAGATCAAGGGCATGAGCAATCAAGGGACAGGATCAAGAAACTCTCAAGCAAAGAGAAGACATGGTTGTGGATAGGGTTCTCTAAGACATGGTTGTGGATAGGGTTCTCTAAGACATGGTTGTGGATAGGGTTCTTACCAAGATAGTTATTCATGAACTTTATGGTTTCCTTCGGTGTCGAGGACCCCTTCCCATTACCACTCTCTTTTACAGACACCTTCCATCGGTCAAGCACGGCTATGGCCGATTGTTCTACATTGTGCAACACCGTGTTCAGACCCCCTTGTCGATCCAATGCTCCATATCCTCCACCCCAAGACAGCACTCTAGCGAGATCGTTTCCTGTTCCAATCGGCAAGATCGCAACTGGGGGCGGGGACACGTAGTTCCTCTTGTCAATGGCATCTAACACCCAGCCAACCGTGCCATCCCCTCCGCAGACCAACACCCGAAAATGGGGCACTCCATCAAATAAGGCAAGTCCAACTTCAGGTCCCTCCTCTGACGTTAGCTCACAAACCTGTCACAAACCACCAAATGCAAATTAGTCAACCTGATATTTCTACTGGACTTTCACGTCCAAATTAGTGCACCTGATATTCCTACTGTACTTTCACGTCTGTCATACCCACCCGACAGCTGCAACCGCCAATGGCCATTAAAAAGAGAAAGAAAAGTTGTGATAAGTCTGCCACCATATGCATCTGACTCAGGTACTCTTGTGCAAACAAGACAACCCACATGCGCAGTCTGTCAAAGATCTCAAGACTGCTGTTGCTACCATCCACCTTCTTCCCCCGACTACAACATACGGTCATTATAGCTGTAGTTAGACTGAAATATGCCCCAAATACAGCTATAATGACCGTTTGTTGTATTCGGGGGGAAGAGGGTAGCAACCCAACCCGCGTAATTACAGCACCTGGAGTGAAGTCCGACAAATACGGACTCTTCGCTCCTGCCATTCGCCCTTTGTAATCTACAGTCAGAAACTGATGCATGACTATCAGGAGATAGCCAATGTGCGGAACCGAGGAATCACCGTCCTGAAGAAAGACATCCATACGCTGAAGCATCTGACTCAACACAAGCATACATCATCATTATGTCGAGGTCCAAGAATGGGAAAATCACGGGAGAAAACCATAGATGTAAGCCCCACACACGGGAGAAAGCCTTAGATGATGGATGAGGGAAATGGAGATGAAGTGTGGGAATGCCCAGAAGAAGAGACTGACAACTCTAGTGTAGCAGCCAAATAATAATTAATAATCTCTCTCCAAGTCTTACAATCATCACTGGATACAACGTCAAATCTGAACGTGGGCGAAACTCGGGGGAATCACCTCCATGAAATAGTCGTCAAGACTCTGGTCTCTCTCCCACTCTAGAAGCAGGACAGAGGAGGCGGATATGGACGGGTAGAGAAGAAGAAGAAGAAGAAGCTCTCTCTCTCTCTCTCTCTCTCTCACACACACACACACACACACACACACACACACACACACACACACACACACACACACACACATACATATGACCGGTAAAGATCATGTCCAACTGCAGCAGGTTGCAGTGTGAGGGTCGGCCAGTGGCCACCTGCAGTCCAAAGGCACCAGGTAAGTACTCCGATGTTGTTCAGTGCCTCTCTCTCTCTCTCTCTCTCTTCCCCCCCCCCCCAAGTCTACCTGCTGTCTCCTCTAGTGCTAAACTAGTCCCTAGCACTGATGCTCTACAGTGCTGCTCTCCAGCATCCTGTTGCAGAAGCGTGAATCCCAGTCTCCAGAACTGCGTACTGGCCAAGCTATCATGGGCTCACCGATCAATGGTCCTAAACACAGGCCCAAATCCAGGTCTAGTCATAGACCTACAACAGCCATCCTGGGTCCCTACCAGACGTCCAGGCACCCGTGCTGACGCAGCAGGGCTGGCCCAGAAACGGACGAGGGCTGGACCCATCACTACCGGACTAAACCAGGTCCAACCCAAATGGGGACAAAAGTCTGGTGGGCCTCAGAAACGGCTCAACGTGGGAACCAGTCCCTCCACTGGTCCCAGCAGGCACAGACGGACAAAACAGAGTCCGAAATGACCCATTCCAGACCAGACGAACCTGGAACAGACAAAGACACACTGAAACAGAACTGTCCTACACCCACAAAAACAGACCAGTTAAAAATGACAACAGTCAAAACATTAAAAAAAGTTTAAAAAAAAACAAAAGGGGGGAAGGTAAGGTGGGACAGAGGGTTTCGTGGCTCACGGGCAGGACGGGTAAGTGGGGGTACAAAGGCTAGCTTGGACAATGGATGAGCTCTTTCTAGGTGGCAAGGATCTATCTGGCAGATCTGGTTATCAGATCTGAGAGGAATAGAGTGGGGCACGGCAAGCTGACAGTCAATCCTCCACCAAGGTGGACCAATCAATGCTGATCAGGGGTCCTTCGGCCAGACGGAAGGAAGCGTGGGTGGTTCTTATTGTAATCAATGTAATGTCTATTCTGACTTGCCAGTGGAATAGGAACCGGACCATTGCTCCCCAGAATGGAAAGGAGCCAGGACCATAAGGCCCTTATTTAAAAAAAAAAAAAAAAAAAAAAAAAAGAGTTCAAAAAACAAAACATAAATAACGGATGCTGCCCAGAAACGCACACCAGGGCCAGAAAATGTACCACGCCCCGCAAGGCCGCCCAAAAGGAAGGTCGCCTGGTCTGAGGGCCTCCAGTCCAAGGTCAGCTCCCCCCACCCCGCATGCCACAGAAACAGAGAATCTGGGTTAGTGGGACCTTGGCCCTGCTAAACCACCAGCACTTCCGAGCCTCGTATTCCCGAGGCAGATTTGTGCTGCACAAAAAAAGAAAAACGAACCAGGGCGGCACAGTTTTCTTTTTCATTTTGACAGATCCAATTGGCTGAGGCCCAAAAGACGCAGCACACGTACAGAGTCTTTATTACAGACGCTCGGAATAAAGTACATGGGAAACGCACTGGGGGTTAAAGAATGACGTTAAAAGCTGTCGACACATTTCAGAAGACATTCGTCTCCTCCCCCGCCTTGCCCCCTCTCCATTCCTCCAGGGCAAGCTTCCACTTACACCGATCACTCGATTCTGGCAATAGATCTTTGCCTAATCTACAGTCAACAACAGCGAAACCGGGTACACAGGCTCTCGACCCCGTACGCATAAGAAACGATCATCCCAGCTGCAAAAAGCTGTCGTCGTGTTCTGGAAGCCACTGTCGACGTGTTTTGGAAGGCACTCTCTACCCTCCCCTCTCCTGTCACTTCCTTGAAGTTGTCATTAGACACACTTGAGTCCTACAGTAAACCCCACTATCTTTATGCCTCCCATGCAGACAAGAGGCCCGCGATTTTCCAGTTCGTCCATCGGATCATTATTATTATTATTATTTTTTTATTTTTTATTTTTTAAGTAAGCTACATTCTTCTCTCAATTCCACCTCACACTACCTACATACCACAACTCCTAATTATGGTCATACGGGAACCCCGTAGAAGCCAGAACCGTGTTCACAAGAGAGAACATGCGGGTCTGCTCCCGACCAGCAGGTGGGCGATACCGGCCAAGGGACAGCCGGCAGCCTCAGAGACCAGGCCAACAGGACCAATCCCTGTGCCTCCCCTCAGGTCCCCTCCTCTACGAACATCAGCAGACTCTGCTCAATGCCGATCGAGGGATCCAGTGGTCTACCTCTAGGTGGCGGGCACCAAGCATCCCAGGAAGGTACATGAGACCAATGGAGATCGAACACACCACCTCCTGAATGCCACTTGCGAGCCTTACCAACTGAGCGTAGGCCGCTGGACGGATTGACGGTTCCATTGGCACAGCCTTCCCCCCCCCCCCC